ACAACTTATATCAGACTTCTCCAGACATCTCTGTCATGTTCTAACTTCCGAAAACGATGTAAGTTTTCAAATCTCTTGAAAGTTTTTACAGTTAATGATGGCATTTTATTGATAGTTCTTCTTTTTAAATCATTTCAACCCAAGCAAGGCAATAAAGGCATTAATGCGCAAGTGGATTAATGAGTGAAAAAAAGATAATCTATTAAGAAGAGAAAACATTAAAAGAACGGAACAATGAAAGACAGAAGATAACGATCGCCATTGATTTCAATTTTTGAAGATTAAATCTGTCTAGGAAGCCAGAAAACGGAAGAGAGTTCCACAAACGAGAGAAGAAATTGTTAGCAGATAACTTAAAGTTATATCTAGCCATTTAAACTGTAAAATGAACTCTTACTGCCAATCTAGTAGAGTGCTTAAATTCATAAAGTCGTACCTAGACATAGAGTAAATTTAATAAAATTACCATGAAAATATTTATAAAAATGGCAAAAGGAAGCTACGTTACGGCGGTGGGAAAAGTGACTGGAGCCGAGATGCCGGTTCAGGGTCGATAACATTGCAGATTGTTCTTTGAAGTTCATCAAAAATCTTTAAATACATAGCAGAAGCATCAGACCAATGCATGGACAAATGGTAGACTTATAAATGTGTAAGATAGATTTGAACGAGAAAAATTGTCTAGCACGATAAACTGAATCAACATTCCTGACCTAGCAATAGTTGTTCATCCAACATCTATAGATGTTATTCTTCCATTTTGGTATTCATGACAAAACCATTTCCATTAATATTTATCGCCTCTTTCCAAGGCTATATAATCTTTTGATGTCTAAGTCCAATATTAATATCAAGTCCGTCTTTATTTTTGGCTTCTTGGAGACAACATACGTTATTACTATCAACATTCCGATCCAATGGTTCTTACTTTTGTTTTTTATTACCAAAGTCCTCTAACATTAAATGCCTCAATGGTAATATCTTTATATACAAGTGGAGGTAGTTACCAGGATTTAAGTAATAAGAATAATTTAATGTTTGACACCGGATAAGTCATTACCTTCTCCACTAAAAAATGTTCTTTCTGTAACGGAACAATTATCTAATACACATAATCAGATTAGATTATGTTCCGTAATAAAGTCCTTAAGAACGAATGAATTTCAAATAATGTTCTTTCAAATTCTCAAGGTTCTTCTATATAACACATTTAAAAAAAACAAACAGATATGATATGTTAACAAATTCAGTTGATTTTTCTTGTCCAGAAAAGTAGATTTATTTCTGTGAAACTCAGAGCCAGAAGATAAGTCTGAACTTTTTATTCATTTATTTGCAATTATATATACATATATAGTTGTTGCGAATATGGAAGCTGGAGAGAATAGGAACAACTTCAGAGATGAAAAAATATACAGAATCATTTGATTGACCGTGTTAAGAATAGCGTTACATTAACACAGAGATTGTAGATCGATTGAAAAGAACCAGCCTTATGAAAAGGGAGATGCATTTTGTCGGGAATTTTTAGATGAGTAATTACCCTGTGTAACATGATTTTTGTCCTTGGGTAGTGATATGTCCTGGAAAGGGATATATTTGTTCGAAATAGAAAAGTCGTTGTTGACTACTGTAACCGGGTAGGACAATCTAGCAGGTAATCCTAATGGACTGGTCCTCGTCGTAGTGGTAAGCAATAGGCGTAGGCAATAGGTGCCGTCTATGTACCTCCACATCAGTCTGTATTTATGGCTGACACCAGCCAATCATATTACTGTGAGGGGGAACCCAGGTGTATGCATAATCATTACATCAGGTAGCAACTTTTATTCCTAATTAGCTTAGGTCTAAAAAATATGAAAAATTGCTAATATTTCCTTCAAACTTTACTTTTGCGACCAAGTTAATGACATTTCTAAAATTTATCTGTTCCCATTATGAAAAATGGTGAATGTGGACATTCTCGTTCATAGAAAGTAGGAACAAAACGAAATATGATTGAAAAGTGGCATTTATTCATTCTTGGATTATACAAGAGAGACCACAAGAAAGTGAGTGGTTCTTCGGGATTTACGTTATACTGTAAATTGCTTTCTTGAATCAGCTCCCAAATATAGTCTCCTATCATGTTTTCTTTGTACGATCCTTGGTAGAGGCATTCAAAATCCAGTATATCATGATGGAAGCGTTCGCTTTGCTCCTCTGAGTACGCCGCCATGTTCTCTATAAATTTATCAAGATGAGCGTCAAGGATATGGATTTGAAGGACATCCTGGAGCCCATTTGCCGTAGTTTTTCACCACTCTCAGCAAACTCCACTTAGTTTTTGGCCTTGTGATTCCACAGGAAGCCCTGAATCACTGCGACAAAGATGTCCCACGCCGATTTATCCGTGTAATCTTTATTGGATATTCCTCACACTCTATCATCTCCTTTATTTGTGGTCCGACTAAGACGCCAGCTTTGACTTTTGCCGCAGACAGCTTAAGGAAGAAGTCTTGGAGGTACTTGAAGGCTGCAGATTCCTTATCTAGAGTTGTGAGAAACTGTTACATAAGGCCCAATTTTAAGTGCAGTGGAGGAAACAATACTTTCCGGTGGTCCAACGGTGGCTCCTATTTGTCGTTGTTACTCCCAACAATAAACTCATTCCGCTGTGGCTAGTCCTGCCTGTGATGGTGTGCCGCGCTGTCTCTGCAATCCGAAGGGAAAATATAACACGGTAGCTTGGTAAAGCCGCCTTGGAGACCCATCAGGAAGGGCACAATTTTGAAGTCTCCGATAAACTCCCAACCGTATTCTTTTTATTTCAAAGCATCTAGCAAGACCTTGACATGGCTGTATTCCTCTTTGAGCTGCACCAAGTGAGCCAGAAGAAGAGATGAGTACGTGTTCCCCTTTATGAAGCAGCACGGCTTTGAGGCTTCCGGATGAGCTGTTTACGAACAGGCGACACTCGTGGTTACGGGTGATTCCAAATATCTCGAACAGACATGTCACATTGCGGTAGAAGCAAAGCCCATCTTGACAGGTGAAAAAGCTTGGCGACGCTTTTTTCTGGCTTCTGACTTGCACATTTTCCTTTAACATAACTAACTCCCTATTTTATATATGATGGACTCTCCCGTTTAACTATAATTAGGGTGCCCCACAGAAAAAAAAAAAAAACAGCAAATTTTAGAGTTACCTAATGAAAATTTCCCGAACACTTATTTTTTATTCTAAATTTACATGCCTAATTTGAAAATAACAAAATTTTTTTTTTTATAAAATCTACCGTTTCGGAGATATCAACAATAAAAGTTCGGACTCATTCGTGTCGTTGTCGGCTACAGCACGGCAACCATCATTGGCGTTGTTTGCATCAGTACGTGCGCAATAATCGAGACAAATGAATGTTTGTTCCACTGCAAATATATGCAAACAACGCCAGTAATGGCTGCCGCGAAGCGAATGAGTCCGAAATTTTATTGTCGATAACTCAAAAAAAGTAGATTTTATAAAAATATTATTTGTTATTTTCGAATTAAGCATGTAAATTTACACGTAAATATAACTATTCGGGAAATTGTTATTAGGTACTTAGTGCAGGGATTAAAAACAAATTACCCGAAATTTCAACTTATTTCAGTGTTTTACAGCAGATTTTTTATACAATAAATTTTAACCGTCCTCAAAAGTAGTCCCTCTTGCAATCCCGATTGCGGCCTTCTAATTACTACGCGCTATTTATATTTGCTTATTTATAAGAAATTCTTGATGTCTACTGTTGGACATGATAAATCAGAGAAAAGTACTCCTATTTATACTCCATCCGTGGTAACTGATTGCAGTGGTTGAATTCCTGTTAATTAGTCAGATATTATAGGAAATTCTGATCGTGGGCGAAATAGAATTATAAAGTAATCATGTGTAATTATTACCAATACAACTGGATTAAGTATGAAACGAGCGATGTGTTAAAATTTCGCAAAATTTGGACTTTTTGATCATCAAAATTAAGGTAAAATGTGTGAAAAAGGGGTGTAATTATTAAAACAAATCAGGACCCATCTGGTGATCGCTGTTCTGTCTATCGGGAAGCTGGCCCTGAAATTGATAAAATAGGATGGAGTTTCTAAAAAAAAGTGAGCGATATTGAGGGTACGAAAGCAAAATCTTGGGGTCCACCACCCACCCGCGGTACACCGGGTACCGCTGTAAACGGGTCCGCCTAATAGCGGTGGACTACTGTATCATCTTACTTATTATAAATTATTGTGTGTCTGTACGTTTATATATTGGATCGGATTTCCTACATTTTTCAACCGATTTCAACAAAACTTCACAGGACTGCGTAAAATTAGCTTGCGGTGATTCTGACAGTGCCAAAAATTGGAAAAACACAATTGTTTTTGGATGAAATCAATTTGAAAACACGGTAAAACACGATTCTGTCGCCAGAATGAAAGGGAGACAACTCATATCGAGTTATACTTATTATAAAACCCAGGTTGTTTGTATGTGTGTGTGTTCGTTTATATATGGGATCGGATTTCCTACATTTTTCAACCGATTTCAACAAAACTTCACTTTTTTTGGCAGGTAGTGTTTCTTATTGTCTTGCACACTTTTTTTCTTTATTTTAACATTCAGAATGCTTTAAAAATTCCATTTACAAGACAATTGTTTATAATAAAATTCTATTCAATCGGTAGACTCATAACGATTGAAAACAATGTTTTTGTTTGAGTTTGGGTTTGACCAATTCGTAACCCCCCCCACTAAAAAACCTACTTAAGACATGCGTGTCCGTCAGCCTTAAACAATAATCTTTGTCAATTTTATTTTTCAGTCTTTATGATGGTCGATACTTGATCTATCTCTTACTGTTACATTCCCGGGCATCGCCGGTCTCTACTGCTAGTTATTTATATAGGAATGAAGCATTATCATTATTATATACTTTACTATTCGGACGATCATGCTTTGTTATAGTTGTTGTACTCACAACGAGGCTCACGGCCATATCACGTTGAAACACCGGTTCTCGTATGATCACCGAAGTTAAGCAACGTCGAGCCTGGTCAGTATCTAGATAGGTGACCGCTTGAGAGTACTAGGTGCTGTAAGCTTGGATGGTGATTTTCTAAACGTAGCATAAATGTTGTGCAAAGCTGAAAATATGGGACGCCATGTGAGGATCGAACTCACTACTCAGCCGTAATTGATCTAGCGAGACAAGCTTGCTAACCATTACACCACGTCGAAGTAGTCGCTGTAAGCTTTTATGTGCGGGTGGTGTAATGGATAACCGTTTGGAATTGGTAATCAGAGAGCCGAGTTCCAGTTTCAGTCAGGTTGGTTATATTCACTTACATGCAAATAACCTTAAGGAAAGGTATGAATCCACCTCATCTCCCACCAGATAGGTTAATTAGTAGGATTTATATCAGTAAATCATTATTATCTCCAAAGGTTCTTATAGGCTAAAATTATTGTCTGGCTTAAAATAACCTGCAAAAGGTTGATAAACCGTAAGAAAAAATCAGTCAATAAATTCACAACTTTTCGGCCGTTATACTCTCCTGCATCTCCAGGTATTTTTATTTGTACTCGGTAACCTTTTTGACATTTCTAATCGAACCCTTTATTCAATTCACGGAGGTAGATCTGTTTTAATTCAGATTTCCATATCAGTTAATATTCACCAGTCTTATTTACCTTACGTGTCGCTTGTCCTGTTTCTTTCACTAAACCAGAATATGTGATTCTGGGGCATCACGAATTACCAGGATAGTCATAAAAATTCCAACATCCGAGTCAGGACACTTATACAGCTCTACCAACTGAGAACAGAAATTAAGTTTAACACACCAGAATTTTAACACTAGGATATTTATTTGCAATATATACAAATTGTGGCACAAGGACGAAAAAGGGGAGGGGTAGAGGCTGGTCTTCACTAGCTATCTTATACCTAGCTAATCTGATTCACGACACTTTCATACATTACAATTCCCACATTCACCACAAGAACTCATCCGTCACCATTCAATCCTCCATTCACCATAATACCACATCCTCTCAAGGAGAAACTACAAAAACCGCCCCATGCCATAATGCCATTTGATGATAATAAACAATATACATAAAATTCTAATAATGAAGAATGAGAGGGGGGGAGATGAACCCAATAATAAAGTAAATATCAACCAAAAATAAACTAAGCATAACTGATGTTAGTAGGGCCCATCCAACCCTCAAAACAGAGAGGCCGCTGTATTCTGCCCAGGAGACAGAATCAAGAGGCTCTCTCGCTAAGGGAATGGGAAAAGGATAAAATATTATACGGGAATGGGAAAATATAAAGCTGACCCAGTCGAGATGAAAAGGGGGCCAAAACAAACTGAGGAGGTTGGGAATCCCGACTTGGATCATAACTAAAGAAGTGGCCAGGAACAGGCCGGGAACAACACTTAATCATATTAACTAGGTACACAAAAACTTGTCTAACCTAACCAAGTGGAGGGTTCCACAGATGTACCGTAGGTTGACCTAGAAGAGAAAATCAAGGCTAGCTCCGTTCACACGAACCAAGCTCGCCTCTTTTACCCACCTTTCGACTGTTGAATGCAATCGTTTTCTATCAGTTCTAATCTTCATCTTGAGCTGATGCTCAAAGAATCGGATTAGATCCTGATGACAAAAACGATTGCCACGCAAGACTTCCTCCTATCACGTTGTCCAAATCACCATTCGAGCCGTGGCTAGCAGCGTCAGAAACACCATTCGTTTCACCCCGGAACACGGGGGCGACACATTGTCACACGCGTATGCGCGATCAATGGACACAAGATGTTCGGGAGCGAGACGAGCCGTCAGCTCGCCAACATGGTGCCATAAAGGGCGGACTCGGGGGCAATTGTAGAAGGCGTGCGAAGCCGCCAGAATTTTAACACTAGGTTGTCCAAGCGGCACATAACCTTCGTTAAAACACGATCGCCCGAATAGCAATACATATAACGCACAGAGTTCCTTTGCTTTATGGTGTGAGCTACAAGTTAAAAAAAAAATGCCCCACACAAAAAATTATCATATAATACTGTTATGATGTTGATTTGGGGTTAGTAGAGACAAACGCCAAATAACACGTAACAATAAAAAGGGTTTTAATAGGTTGGTAAAAAGGTACAGAAATCGCCTGAGTAGTCAATAACTAGCTCAGCTAAGAACTTCTCTGTCTATCTGTCTTCCCCATGTCAACTGACATGCCACTATTTAAAGTCTTTGTTCACAGACGCAGACAAGTTCATCTTCAAGAGGGGTGGTAGGTTTCCGGCACAGCAATTATTTTGCTACAGAGTGATTGAAAAGCAATTCCCTATTTTATGTATGATGGACTATAATTTTCACAAGACGAGAGAGTTCATCATACATAAAATAGGGAGTTCCTTTTCAATCGTATATATATATGAATGAACTATAAAAATTAAAAATGTATTATATATTATTTTATTACAGCGTCATTGAAAAGTAACTCCCTATTTTATATATGATGGACTCTCCCGTTTAACTATAATTTTTACAAGACGGGAGAGTTCATCATATATGAAATAGAGAGTACTTTTCAATCATCATGTGAATTTAAAAATATTAACTAACATATAATTTTTTTAACCCTTTCTTGTTCTAGGATGCCGCCGTTATCAAATTTTCAACTCGGGATCATTGTTCTCTTTAAGAAAGAACATCCAACTTGAGGACGGAAAAAATGACAAGTAATTTTGGCAGACTTTAGTTTGGACCCAGCATCTAACATTTGTGCTTTTGTTCTGTTTTAAGCTACAAAATTTCTATTCCTTGCTTTTGTTTTAAATAACTGTAACAAAAATTCCAAGGTTGTTTTTTTGGCGGGGTGGGTGGGTCGGTCTTCTGTAGAAAGATAAAAGAATAAAAAAAGAACTTGCTACTCGTTTCAGATCATGGAATAAAGAACGCTGTCTCGATTTTCGGTAAAAAAAAAGAAGAAAAAAATAGTAGCCTCCTTTGACGTCAAAAACATCTTTACTAAAGTACTAGACCCAATAAACATCATACTTGAAAATTTAGGCAAACACACCAGCCCAGCCACCAAAAAAAATCCAGTCTGTAAATCGCTGTTAGTTATCATTTCCTTTTTATTCTTAACTACACTTAAAAAACGTTTAAAATAGACTGATTAAAATGACTTACTCAGACTATTTACAAAGAAAACAAAAAAACAAATAAAACGAAAAAACAAAAAAACAAAACAAAATAACAAACAAAACTCCTAAAATACGATATGAATAATTTGGGATATTGATTGATAATCTAATAAATTTCGTTTGAAAACTAAGAGAAATAACATTTAACTAAAATTGTTTAAAATAAATTAATTAAGATATTTACATGTTAAATATTAGTTAGAAAAGAAAACATAATAACGTCTAAATTTTAGTTAAAATCAGTTACTTCTAAAAATTATCCTTAATGAATGAAATTTGTTTAAAAACTAAGAGAAATAACAATTAACTAAAATATTATTTTGCATAAAAATGTAACGGTTTTGCACTCATCACTAAAAAATTTACGTTTCACCACTTTCAAGCATCTAGATGTTCTTCTAACTACTTCAGTCTTTTATTCCAAATGTTTTTTGTTTAATGCTGGGTTTCCTGTTTGTTTTTTCTCATAATACTCTGCTTATATATTATTTTATTACAGCGTGATTGAAAAGTAACTCCATATTTTATATATAATGGACTCTCCCGTTTAACTATAATTTTTACAAAACGGGAGAGTTCATCATATATAAAATAGGGAGTACTTTTCAATCGTCCTGTGAATTACAAAAATTAACTAACATATAAATCTTTTTAACTCTTTGCCGCAGTTATCAAATTTATCAGCTGAAACCTCACTGTTTAAAACTGCATTTACTCCTTACTTAACTAAAAGAATAGTTGAGAAGGTGAATATGTTTTGTGTGAATGTATGTTAGTTTGAATGAGCGTGAAAATGTGTGCATGATATGATATATATATATATATATATATATATATATATATATATATATATATATATATATATATATATTTGGTTGGATAGATGTCAGTTTGTGACCCTGGGATCGCTAAAGCGTGAAACCCAGGGTCACAAACTCACATCTATCCAACCAAATATGTTAGCTCTATCTCTGATATTGAGAGCTTTCTAATAAGTACCGCACATATAATATATAAATAATTATATATATATATTTATTTATATTTATACACACACACACACACACACACACACACACACACACACACATATATATATATAAGCAAGTGTAAATGGATATAAATCCGACAGAATGAAGAAATTTTGAAAAAAACAAACAAAAATCCTTAAATGTAGTTAAAATGAAAGAAATGTCGACGTCTGACGTTTCGGTTTAATAAACCTTTTTCAAGACAATATTCATCAAAATACAATTCAGTTCAATATGACAAATACGATGGACATAAAAACACAAGTCTTATTCAGAACAGATAACTGAAAATTTTTAAAATGATCAGCCTTCCGTCTAACATGGTCACGCCGTCGTCACATGGGCGACACTTTCATAACGTATTCCTAAATGTTTGTGATTATTTTGAAATGAAAAGAATTCTATTAGGTTCTAAAATTCTCATGTGTATGCTTGTCGAGCATCAATCTCGCTAAAAAAGGGGAAATATTAAAGAAACCAGGTCTAGTATTCACCGTGCGTGAGATGGATATTATACCTGCTTCATAAATCCTCCTGAGATTTTTATTATGAAAATATTTTAATACTTTCACGGAATCGAAATCGAAATTATGATCTGCTTTAGTTGTGTGTACAACTAAAGCATTGTTAAAATTACCGAGACGAATATCTCGTTTATGTTCGAAAACACGAGATTTTAAGGACCTACCTGTTTCACCCCATATTTTAGGTCACAATTTTTGCATGATATTTGATAGATGCAAGCATCGGATGTAATATGTTGTCTGCTGGTGCTATTTAATAAACTACGGATAGTCCTAGTAGGTAATATAGTAGTTCTAATTTTAGTGCATTTAGATTATGAGAGATACGT